TATATATTTTTAAATTTTTTTAACTAACATTGTAACAATATATTAGGAGCCTTGCATTACATTTTTAAGCTTTTTTACTAAAATAATAATATTTTGTTGTAATTAATAAAAAAAAACTAAAAAGATTGAAAATTTCATATGTCTATAAATAATTTAAAAAGATTTTAAATATTTTGAAAATTTTATCATGTATAGAAAATGACACTTTAAACATTCAGTGAAAATTGCATGCGAGTCTACGTTAATTTGTTAATGAGTTACACCAATATCTAAAATCAATTTTTGAGAAAATTGATTTTGGGTAAAAATTACCGTTTTYCCTTAATTTATTTTTGAGTTTTCCGGATGCTTTTGAAAATTATTGGAAATTTMAAAATTTGACATCCCACTGCACCAATAGATTAAATTTTTAACTGGAAAAGCTATTCTAATCGGTATAGTAACTTGTATTTGTAATACATTCAATTAAAACATTTTAAAATTAATAATTTTAATTATGGTGATAATTGAAAATATTCATAAAGGTTCATTATATTTTATGAGTATTATTTACTTATTTAATTATTGCCTATAAAATCATGGTTTTACATTGTTTTTTAGTTTATTTATAAAGTTGAGACTGTAGAATAAAAGATTCAGTTTTGGTGGACTATTGATTATAAGTATTTTAATTAAATTTATGAATATCAATTAAAATTGAAAAAATGACAAATRAATAATGTTATTGGGAAGCAAATAAATTTTTTATTTCATTAATGTTAACATATAGCTCCTAATATAAGGATATAAATAGGAGACTATCACCTCTTTCTTAGTTTTCTGTATATATTTTATACGTTATAAAAACAAATTTTTTTTTGAGATCTACAGCAGGTGATGCCCACGGAAAAGCTGTGACCTGCAGTTCTCTATACCTTGCCATGACGGTGACATTTGAATTAGCTGATGGTATCGWATAGCAAATCCTCAATGGACCGTTAAATTGGRTCCCGAAAAATATATAATTTAATTGACTTCCAAAAACATAACATAATTTTCGTCAACTGTGCAACGTCTTCGAATTAGGAAAAAGCCGGGAGGAAACGAAGCGAAAGTTATTCAACG